AATTTTAGCTATTTCGGATGTATTTTGATTGAAACATATAAATTGTTATTTCTATTCTTAAATACTTTTGGTCCCATTGTGGGCCAGGTGTAAGTTTCCGGACTTACAATACTAAAATCCGGGACTTGATTTCTCACATTGGACAGATTGTTGACATCTCATTTTGTAGCTTTACACTAGAAAAAAAAAACAGTACCAGCATGGCCAGGTGGGTAAGACGCTCGACTCGCAATCTGCGGTCGCGGGTTCGCGCCCCCAACCCACCAAACATGCTCGCCCATTTTAGCCGTGGGGGCGTTATAATATGATGGTCAATCCCACTATTCGTTGGTAAAAGAGTAGCCCAAGAGTTGGCGGTGGGTGGTGATGACCAACAGCCTTCCCTCTAGTCTTACACTGCTAAATTAGGGGATTGTTGGCGTCAGGAAGGGCATCCGGCCGTAAAAAACCCTGCCAAAACCGAAAATAGCGACCTCGTATAGATATGGGAAAAAGCTACGGAAGATATTGATTTCCATTTTGCAATTTATATCTTATATGTTTCTCATTTTAGTTGATTTCCTAATTTGAGAAACTTTTCTTACTGTTTCCGTTGTTGTTGTTTTTAAGTTAGCAGACATTTTACAAAAAATCCATAAATATATGTATTAGTTCCTCTAAGGTACAGAAGTGGGAAATATGACAAAACAAGAGAAGAGTGACTGAAGTCAGCTCAAAATCCGTTATTATTGCGTGTACAACTGATAATTTTAATAAGTAAAAGTTTTTATTTCCAGCAACACTTTTCTTGTTATGTTGAAAAAAAAGCTGAATTTAATAATCCACAAAAAACACAAGAAAAAAGTACTGCTTATTGTGATGTTGTTACTCCGTAACAATATGGCTTCACACATTCGGATCTGGACGCGTCATAAAAGAGATAATCCATCCCGTTATTCAGTTCAAGAAACGAAAAAGACCTCTTGTGGCAGTGGGTGCTGCAGGGTGGCTGCATTCCCTCTTGTTAGTAGCTCAAAATTAGGAATGGCTATACCTTAATACTAGAGGTCTTTGAGATGGATGTTTAGCCCATGTGCCATTCAGCTTGAAAATTCAAATTTTTTACCATCAAAACAATGTAAACTTTTAAGCCACTTATACTCAACTTCAAACTTGTAGTATCACGATCATTTGTCAAAATCCTAATTTTATCTATATCAAACTAATAATAGTTGCACAACTAAATTAAATATTTTTGAGTGCAAATATATGCTAAATAAAACAAATTCTTCGTATTAAATTTTACATATTACAAAGTAAAAGTATCTCTTTCAGTTTCTTCTCAGCACTAAAAACTCCCGAAGGTCATTACCATGTAACCAAATCACTGATATCCGTCCTATGAAAAAATTGTGTTTATTTCGAGTGGTGAAACGTTGTTTTTAAATTATATATTTTTTCCATCCCATTTTAGCTGTTTTCTGAATTTTGAAAAAAAATTAGGGTGCAGGATAGCTCCAACATTTATATTTATACTCAGAAGGGTTCCTATCAGCATCAGATTAAAATTTTAAGCACTAAGTGACCGATCTTTTACAACACTTGCTAAAAATGTTGATAAAAATTTAAGTATATCAATATCTATACGACTAATTTAATAAAACTTTTTAACTGTATAAGGCATCCAGAAATGATTTTAATTTAAGTTATTTACTTATATTTCAAAAACATTGGCGACCGCTTTATTTTATAGAAATATCATTTAAGCCTAGAAGGTTTTACAAGACTTTCACATAACTGAAAATTATGCTAACTTTTCTAGATATAATAAAGATCGTCATTTATATTATTAAGTGTTACGACTATTTTATATAAAAACGATTGCTGCGTATTACAAACATTAATACTACTGCTAAGAAAAAGAGATTAACAATCCCTTAGGTCGTGCTTGTTTTTTTAATGCAGTCCAAAGTTAATCGAGGACTAGCTGTCAACTGTTGTTTTTTTACTCTTTACCAACGAATATCATAATTATAAATCATAACGCCTCCATGACTGAAAGTATAAACTTATTAGGCGAAGGGATTTGAGCCCACGACCCTCTGATTGCTAGTCAAATATTTCATTTGCGAAGCCATGCCAGACCCATCCGTTAGTCCTTCTGCTGAATACTGAATTTTTATCACTTATCCCCGAATGAATGTAATTACATTATCGACACATTGACCAAAGAAAGATTAAATATTTGTACAATATGTACATAATGTGAGTTAGACCATGAATAGTCATAGCAAGCTAATAGATAATAAAAGTACAGTATCTGAAATGTTTAATTCCTGCTCTCTTCAGTTAATAACAACAGTTCCTAAAATTCTAAGAATATTAAGCATTAGAAATAACAGTGAACCATTCATCTGTAGGTGCTACATAACTTTGAATCCAAACAGTAATTGTTGATACTTCTGTGGTTTATACCTCTTAAGGTGATATGTTCCTTGACTCTTTCGTACAGCCTCGTGGTAGTGGATGTTATATTCCTTAACTTACAATTTAAACATTAGTGTTGATAGACAGCCAGAGAAGTGTGCAGATTATGAAAACTGTTTAGAAAAATCAAGTGTGCCACCAGATTTAAAGTTACGAGTGAAATCATAGGTACTGATTGACATATGATCAGAAGTATTAGTAATACATATTTTCAATAAAAGACAATTCATATTTTTTTTCATATTCAATAGTATTCTCGATATTGTCAAGAAATATAAAATAAAAAAAACTCTCAGCATGATTAAAATAAAAAGAATGAATATATCATTCGTATATTCAATAAGAATTGATAAATGTTTCCATAAGAGAAGCATTCAGAGATTGTGAAAATATTTTCAGAAAGAAAGAAGACATTACCCATGTTTATTTATGCTGTTTCATCTTCTTCTGTCTCTTTCTCATTATCACTTTCTACCTTACTTTGCTATTGTTCGTAATTAATTATCAGATTATTTTATACGTAAATACTACTAAAATTAATAGAACTTGATTGGATAGTATTTTCATGACATGTGGAAATAATACAATTCCTCCAACTAAGTTAGTTTTAGACTGGTTGAACAACTGTATTATACAGGTGTTTTGAGAAGTGAAGATGCTTAACATTAACCTCTATAATTTATCATACCATTCTCCTCATTCTTATGGAAAATTATTTTACTCTATATAAACTATGTTTTGTCATTTCTTTACTTTTAATTATTTGCTATGTGCTGAACAATTTTCGGACTTTTCTTGAGAAAAATTGTGTAGAATTGCTAATGAAGCATTTCCGTTTCAGATACGTATGCTTTAAACTCCGTGTAATAACATACTTCATTTTAACATTTCTCCTAAAGATGCTCAATCATCTCTTTTTGGAGCTCAAAAATTGCGAATCTACAACATTGCATGGATACTAAGAAGATTCTGAGAGTGTGCATCTGGGTATTTTTTAGATGCAACTCAAAAACATTTTGGACAATTTTTTGCCCTATAGTCTATAATTCTGCTGCCTGAAGGCCTATAGAAAAGTTTAATATTTTTTTCTAATTCTCACTTACTGAATGAACACTCTGTGAAGGTTTTCTGCCAAATACTGTTGAAAAAGAACAAAATGGTAAAAAAAAGCCACCAAAATTGTCCAAAAATTGACATATTTTCCCAAAAATGACAAAATTCAATAAGGTATGGGGCCAAACATTTCTTAGCCAGTCAAAGGCAACATGAACGGAAACAAAGGCACCAGGAAAGTTCAATAAATCATATCAAACAAAACAGTTAAAGAATTTTTGGCGCATAAAAAGATAATGGATTTGAAAATTATTGACAGGAGGAAGAACAGCTCACTCAGTTTTCAAGTTTCCTTTGAATCTGGCATGTGCAGAGGCACCAAATTGCAACTTCTAGAAAGGTGGTAAAGTACCAAAGTCCTACAGGAGTGTCAGCTCATTATCTCACAAAGCTACCCTTGAAGCTTTTGAGTGAACCCTGCAAGACCTTCGACGTAATGACAAGAGAATTGGAGGAGTGACTATGTATGGTGTTGGCTAGGGACTTTCGATAAACACTGCCAGTCATTCCACGTGAAACCAAAGCAGATAAACTGCAGACCTGCCTCAAAGCTTCATACAACCTAACAACCAACATGCAAGTGTATTTGATAGGTGATGTATCTGGTGGAGAATTTGCTGCAAGCCTACTCCAACTGTGAAATGGAGCAATGACATCTGAGAATCTAGATGAAATGGTCTCAATGGAAAATATTGGTAAAACAAGGTCTGAAAGAAGCAGTTTTTCCAAATGTAGTTCATCATTTCCATGATCACAAGTGGCTGTGTGAAAGAGCCATCCTGGCGCTAAAGAATGATATAGTTTATACCACAAACAGAGAGCACCTCTCTCAGTTGCCTGGCCAAGTGCAAAAGTACAAGTCAGTTGACACTGTTCCAGAAACAAATGAGGCTGTCTATTATCCAACAGAATTTCTCAATTCCCTAGAACCACCAGGTGTTTCATCACACAATCTGGAGCTCGAGATTGGGGCACAAATCATGCTTCTTAGGAATCTGGATCCATCAACACTGTGCAATAGAACACGTTTGGCTGTCAAGAAGCTGATTCCACTTGCCATTGAGGATAAAATCATGACTGATCATGCTGCAGAACAGGATTTCTTCATTCCACGCATTCAGATCATCCTATATGACTTGCCATTTCAATTCAAGCTACTCCAGTTCCCAGTTTGACTCAGGTTTGCCAAGAGCAACAACAAACGCAAAGCAGTCACTCAAGATTGTTTGTCTAAACCTACAAAGCCCATGTTTTTCTCATGTCCAATTTTATGTTGGCTGCTCCAGGGTTGGTGATGGCAAGAACCTTTTCATTTTGGCAATGGATGGGAAAACAACCAACATTGTCTATCCTGAGGCACTGCAAGGATAAAAAAAAATTCAAAACACTGTGATAAAATGTGATAGAAATATGTGATATAAAATTCTAAGTTCGATGATAAAATATTAAGATATAAATAGATAACTCTTAACTTAAAGCAAAGATTTTTTTATTATAAAATAAGATTTATGACATCTATAGGTTTCTGGGTAAACAAAATCTGTGAAGTAGGTTCAAAATACAGACACAGTTGACCAGTAAAATATCAATCTAATAACCCGAGCTAAGACGGATAATTCAGCTAGTATAAAATATACATAGAGTTATCTTTGTCACAGTTACTACTAACAGTAAATAACTTCTTCAAGTATAAAATTTATCATCTAAAGGTTCGAACTCTTAGGTCCTATATATTATCAACAAATATAGTACTATTTTGAGATGACTACGACTTTCGAAAGCTAATAAATATTTTGGTAAATATTTGTTTGAAGTTAAGCACAAAACTATACAATAGACTATATTTCTCTGCCCACCACGAGTATCTAAACCCGGATTCTAGCATTGTAAGTCCGAAGACATACCGCTGTGCACACTAGGGGGTGGTAAATATAAAATGAAGAAAACAAAGACAGTTGTACGTTTTATGTCCATGGTTTCGCTTTTGCTGGCAAAATGACAGTCGTATTAAATGAAATATTTGTGAAACGTACAACTGTCTTTGTTTACCTCAATTCTGTAATTATGGAGTTTCACCAAGTACCGACAGTTTCAAATATTAATTGTAATGAATGGTAAAGCACTAAATAAAAAAATATATTGGGCTAATGAAATTGCCTTTCTTGGGTGTCATTTTACTCTACTGATTTTTTTTTTGTCGTTCTAGTATCATACATTATTTGTTATCAAATAAATTATTAGGTGACTTATAAATCTGAGTTCATGTTGTTCTTTTCTGTTACCTAAATATATAAGCTGATTTTTTTATTACATACTACATGTTTTAGCCAATAGGAGTTCTTGCTTTGTGTTATTTTTTCATCTAAACCGTAAACCTACCAGCATGCTGTTTCTTGCAAAACGTCAGCCCTGAAGTTTATTTTTGTTTGTTTTTTAAGCGCAAGGCTACACAATGGACTATTTGCAATACGTCCAATGCAAGAATCTAACTTCGAATTTTAGTGTTATACTCTTCCATGCTTACCACTGAGCCATCGGAGGATCAAATATCTTTTCATTAAAAAGGATCTTATATCATTTTGTCTTTCGTTAAATAATTTTAGGTTTCTTATTGATTTATAAAATAAGTCACTATATTTAGTCAGATAATTTAATATACTAAACGGTGTCAACTAAATTACACACGTGTTTGTTTTATTAATGAGATTAAATCAAGAGATTTCTGATAACTTTGCAATAACATGTTTATATAAGTTTCTGTTTCCATTCATCCTTAGGAAGGAATGACAGTCAATCGATAGCGTTGGGTTATTAAGTTTTCCTGAACACAGTTTATTAATTAGTTTGACGTTACACGGTTTTCTCACTTAACAAAAGCAAATGAGGTCTAGCTAAGGATTATGACTGTTGTGCAAAACATATGCCTGCCCTTAACATTTGGGAGGAAGTTGTACTTCAGTTCACTATTCTGTTGAAATAAGAAAAGATGTTGAAAAGTGGAGCATTGGTTGAACTAATGTTGAATTGAAAAAAGATATTGAAAAGTGAAGTATCGGTTGGACTAATGTTGAATTGAAGAAAGATGTTGAAAAATGGAGCATTGGTTGAACTTATCTATAATTATATTTCTGCAAAATGGTCATGTGTCATCTCTTATTCTCAAAGTAATATATAAAATATATATGTAAAATAATCGATGTAACCTACTGATAGGTGTACCGGACTTTGGATCGGAAAGACCAATGTTCGTGCCTCAGTATGCTGTTGAATATCTTTCGCACTTTCAATTGCCCGTTCAAAGTAAATTGTGTATGCGGCGTTGTACTTCTCACTAGTTGCCTTTCTTCTTACGAATAATTACAAATTATGGATGACTATATTAGTTCCTAGAGGACTTATATTTTATTGTTTAGCTCATGTGTCGCAAAAGATGAATTATAAATTGATCATACCATATACCAAATGCCTATCTACTTATCTATCTTCCCTATATAAGTAAGCTACGATTATTTAAAGGCTAAATAATAGTACTATATTTAATATCTTTATACCAGCTTCTCCAAGATATCTTATGAAAAATGTTTTAGTGATAAATGGAGAAGCTGGTATAAAGATATTAAACATAGTAATATTATTAAGCCTTTAAACAATCGTAACTTACTTATAAGCACAGATCACAATGATGATAATTCGAGAAAAGGGACTATTTTATCTGATGTGCATTTTTATAATATCACAGTGCAACAAAATATACATAGTGAACATGTTTTGTTTTTTTATCTGATTACATTTATGCTGAAATTCTAATTATCTACATGTCATAGGTAATCAATAGCAGAATAATAACAAAAACCCTGTTCATAGACATATACACACACAAATATATATATATATATATATATATCATATTTTGCTTACATTTTATTAATATGTTAACACTTCTGAGGTTCCACTAAACGAAATTAATGGGATAGCATTCTTCCTTCAGTGTCAAAATAACAGATCATTATACTTGAGACCAATGATCCCTTGCTGTACTCAAGCAAGTCGTTCGTTTTCAATCACGTTTCATAATGGATGATTGAAGCTTTACGCTTCTTTTGCCCAGTCGCAGGTTGATTGATGATGTGAGCTGCACGGACTTTCGACTGATATTCATTCATTCACATTTCTAAGAAAATTAGTTGACAGCTTGATTCCTGAAGCTATTTGGTTTGATTGCACAATGTTATTAACTGTCACAGAAATCACAATGAAACAAAAGATAAATACAATATAAATATCTGAAATACTGAAATCGCTTTAATGTTTTCTGACCACAGAAAAAATACATACATAGTTATTCTTTTTAAAGTATTTTTAAGATTTTAGCTAAAAGCAATCTTACATGTTTCTGAGATGCCAGTATGTTTCAGGAAACACACTTGATATGCTTATCACTATGCGCTACGCTTTGCTCTTGAAACACGAGTGGCTCTACATGAAATAAAAACAAATTAGAAAAGAGTAAAACTATTCGATAAAAATGAGAATATTAACAGTTTTATAATACCCTCTTCGTATTATTGACTTATATAAGAAATTGATTTATATTAACGAAAGCCTAAAAAAATTAAAACATTAATCCTACTTCAACTTCATTTAAACTACTCTTGTGTGAGTGTATGTGTGTGTTTGAAAAAGTTAGCAGAACATGCAATTCAATACCTCTTTCAATTTTCTCCGTTTGCTTTTAAAATATTTTGTAATGGTACTGGTTTTTTTTTCGTTGTATTTAAAGCAGTATATCCAGATGCTCTAACATTAAGTGCATGGAATAGAGTTTTTGGAATAGCTTTCATTTTATATTTTGAACATAAAGTGAGAGTCAACATTGCAAAATGTTTCACGTGTTTTCTTTCTCACGTGATAATTGTCTTCGCATTCACAAAATTCTCATTCGCATTATTGAATGAGATGGCTTTTGATTTTAAGACTTTGATGGGCATATCCATCGTCTCCTTCACCTATATAACATTAATGTTGTCATCCATGGAAGTGATTATAAATGTAAATTTTATTTTCAGCTTACGGAAACTTATTTTTACGACACCATCTTGTTTAGTACTCGAAAAATGTAGAAGAACATTGAAAAAGTATTTATTGCAGATTTCTTATAATGCTTTGACTTTGAAAGTTTTGTTGTGTGTATTGATGAAATTGATGAAACGTGAATTAGGGTTAAAATATTTGATGAACATAGGAATAAAATCATAAAGTAATTTAAAAACTTCACACTTAAATTGGACGTAACAGGTGTTTACAGTATTAGTGTGATTTAACATTTGCCCACTATCGATACTTTTCTTTATTATGTATTAGAGTTATAGACCATAACCTTAAGAATAAATTTAAATATGTAGCATACCGTTGATCAAGTTCAGACAGGATAGAAGTAAACGTAAAAAAGTTAGAATAGACAAGAGCATGACGATAAAAGAAATGGAAGAAGAATAACATAGATGTAGAATTATCATTTCTAAGCAACTTCAAGAATAATGTACAATAAATATAAATTTAAAGAATCAAACTTGTATCTTCTGTTTAGAGCTGCTAACTCGGAACTTTTGTAGTTTACTTCCATTTCCCGAAATTTAATCTATTTTCCTCTAATTACATTTGTTCTCTGGATTTATAATACTTAACTGAGTAAAGTGTGAAATCAAACCGGTTATTATCAGTTAACCATAGTAGATTACCACACACTGACTTTTAATATGTGTCAGTTAATTGAAAACAAAGCATTTTTTTTTGTTAGATTCTTAATTCCAATCCTATACAAAGTCAGAGTCAATATGGAATAACACTGGTTGTTCTTGAGTTAGTTCGTATATGAAACATCTGTGAATAAACTGGGTACGATCGGGTACTGACAGGCCCATTTCCTTTGAGCCAGGAAAAAATACACCAAGGAAACAGCTCACTCAAGAGAAATAAATTCCAAACATTTAGTTGTCGTAATGAAGCAAATAGAAAATAGATACATAATTCCATACATTTTCCCAACAATTCATATTATAACAAAACTAAAGACAATAACTTTTTAAAGTACTACTGGCATTAATTTGAAATTCATAGAATGGGTATTCGATAGCCAAAAGTCGAGAAATTGAGTAATGAATGAATAATCACAAGA